TTTCTCACACAGGTACAGGACATTAACAGCATTTGTGAGACAGAGACCACAGCTGTTTTTCAGAGAGACCGACTGATTTGATACCTTGCTTGGTTTCTGCAACCTAGCGTTCACTGTAGAGCAGCAACTGTTTAGTTCCTTCCCTACGCAACATTTTACATGAATGAATTATCCCCAACAGAATACAAAAGCCTGCCTCCTAAGAAACCATAATCTTCCCTACCAGGATAACAACATGACTTACAATAACAGAGATCACCACTCATGCCCCAGAACACAGACTACTGTTGCAAAGCAATTCTGATAAGGTGTCAGTTATGCTGGCATAACTAATAGACAATTAACACTAAGTAGCTACCAAAGCACCACACCTGTGTTCATTCATCAATGTTTCCAGGAAAGTGCATATTCCCAAACTGGATGATTACAACTCCTCCAAGGTTGTTACACTCTCCAAGTGAAGATTCTGCCCACTTGTCTGTGATTTGGCTAGATTGTAGAGGGGCTCCTCCTTGGTAAACTCCAGCAAATTTAAAGAAAGCATTTAGCAGCATGCAACACACTACATGAAGTGAGCCAGAGGTCATGAAAAATTAATAAACAGGGCAGTTTAAGACCAGGAAAAACTTGTGGGACACAGAAGCATGGCACTGAAAATCTACTACCTGCATTCTTGCAGCTTGGAAGATTTGGTATCGGTGTTTGCTCTAGGAAGTTCTTTGTCCACATTTGATGTGCCTGCACATAACACAGTCATAGCTGTACATCCTCTTAGAAGCTGTGGTGGGTTAGCCTTGGCCAGCAGTCAGACAACCCCCATTCACTCCCCTTCCTCAACAGGACACAAAAGCTTAGGAGCCAAAACAGACTCAAAGACTGCTTATTGGTTACCATCAGGGGTAAAACAGAGTTAAATTTGGAAATTCAATTTAATTTATAGGCAATTAAAAACAGATAGTGAGGAAGCTAAAAACAAAGACAAAAGTTCCTCTCTGCTGCTCCCTTCTCACTCTTTTCTCCTGCTCCAGCATAGTTTCTCCACATGCTGCTGAGGAATCTCTGCTCTGGAGCCTGGAGCACTGCCTCCTCCTCCTTCAGATCTTGGTGTTTGTACTGCTCTTTCACTCTCTTTCCCCTCCCCACACTTCTCTGTTTAGCATTTTTTGTACACTTGTAAATACTTTTTCTCTGAAGTGCCACTGGTTTGGCTGCTTAGCTCAGCTGTGTCCTGCAGTGGATCCAGAGTGGAGCCAACAGGAACTGTGTTCTCCTCTCTAGCCTTTTCTCAGAGAGGCTACCTCAGTGGCAGGGCTGCTACTGACACCATGACATCTACACTCAGCTGAAAAGTCTACCATGAAACAATCACTAGACTGAAAGGGAAAATAGGGGTGAAATATCCTTCACATCACCCCCTAGTGAGTCCAGAAATGTCAGTTACAAAGTGATGGATGCATGAAAACTGTCAACAGCATTAAATATTTGGAAATCATACAGGTGCTTTTCCTTATAATGTTCAGGGAAGAATTGCTCAGGACTAAACTCCTCCAGGTGGAAAATCTTGGTAGGGCACAGGTTATAACAGGAGTATTTGTACCATTCAATACTTTATATCCTTCGCCTAAGAGAAAAGGGAAAGGAAGAAGGATCAAAACAGCAAATAGGTGGCTGTCTATAACTGCTTTACCATGAAATAAAAAAGAGAAAACCCCTACCCGTTACCTGGAAAACTTTCTCAGTACTCTGTCCTGCAGATATTCCAGCACCCATCCCAGCCACCTCTAGCTACTTAAAACTCCAGAGTGGCCACATGGTGCATTCCTATCTCAGTTTCTTCATCTTGATAAAGGAGGAATGGAAAACTTACCAAACACCTTGTCCAGATCTCTGTGAATCTTCTTCTATGCTTCAGGATTACATCCAAGTAAGCATAAAGCCATTGGAAGGGTGTGCAGAGATGAGGTTAGAAAAGCAAAACCTCAGCTCAAATGGAAATTTGCCAGAGATGTCAAAAACTACAAGAGTTCTTTAAGTACTATCATGGCTTAGACCACCATGAAGCACCATGCATACACCCCATCCCAGTGGAACAGAGTAGAATATCAGAAAAAAAGATAAAAACCATGGTTGAGATAGAGGAGTTTAATGATTGAAATATAATAAAGTAAAATGAAAACAGGAAAATAAGAGAGAGGAACAAAACCTAAGAAACGCAAGCAATTATACAAAACAATTCCTTACCACCCACTGACCTTAGTCCACCCCTAAGCAGCAATAGGTCGCTCCCAGCCACCTCCCCCCCAGTTCATGTACTGAGCAGGGCCTTCTGTGGTACGGAATATCCCTCTGACCAGGTGGGGTCAGCTGTCCTGGCCATGCTCTCTCACAGCTTCATGTGGAGCCTCTCACTGGCAGAGCACTGAAAAGTCTTTGATGTTGGGCAAACACAACTTAGCAAGAACTGAAACATTAGGGTGTAATCAACATTATTCTCATACCAATTTAAAACACAGCACTGTGCCAGGTACTAGGATGGAAATAAATTCTATTCCAGGTGAAACCAGGTATGTAAACAAGTAGAAACAAAGTATTTTCCTGCTGTTTAACAGGAGAGATGAATTAGTCATCAACAAGGCTGAAAAGGCAGAGGTACTCAACACTCTTGTCCTTCCATCACCCTTTCTTCACCCTTGTCCTTCCATCAGCACCAGGCCTTTGGAAAAAAATCCTGGCTGATGCAAACACAGATCCACTATCTGTGAAGGAAGGGTTGGTGTATGAACTATTACAGGAGCTTGACCTTTACACACTGATGTGCTCTGATGGTATCCAACGAAGGAAAGCTGACCAATATAGCTAAGGCCACTCTCCATAATTTTCAAGTTGTGAAATTTGGGGGACATCCAAGAAAACTAAAAGAAGGCTAATGTCACTCCTGTCTACAAGAAGAACTTCAGAGAGGACCCAGAAAATTACAGGCCCATCTGTCTTACTTCAGTCCCTGGGAAACCCATGGAACAAATTTTCCTGGGTGCTGATAGAAGTCAAATGGAGCCCGTGATTAGGAAAAGCCAGCACAGATTGACAAAGGACAAATTTTGCTTGACAAACCTGATTGCCTCTTACAACAAATGAACCTGCTTGGCTGATGTGGGGCCTGCAGTGAATGTTGTCTACCTGGATATCTCCAAGCCTTTTCATATGGTTTCCCATGGCCTCCTCCTACAGAAATGTGTATGTGATGGTGTGGATGTGTGATCCATGCAGTGGGTTGGAAATTGGCTGCCCTGGAAGGTGGTGGTAAATTGCTCCCTTTCACCCTGGCAACTGCCTCAAGTGGAGTCCCCCAGGGAATGATACTGGGCCCAAGGCTGTTTAGTATCTTCATCAGTGGTTGGATTATGGGATCAAGTGTACCCAGATGAAGTTTGTCAGTGACATCAAACTGAGTGAGGCAGTGGACACTTTGGAAGGGAAAGCCAGCCTGCAGGACAACCTGGAGACGCTGAAAACTTAGGCAAACAAGAGCCTTATGAAATTCAAAAAGGACAAATATAAGGTCCTGCACATGCAAAAACATAATCCAGAGAGCAGAACAGGCTGGGGATCTACCTGGCTAGGGAACAGCTCTATGGAAAAGGACCTGAGGGTCGTGGTGGACAAGCAGTTCAGTGTGAGTGAGCAGTCTGTTGCTGCAGCAAAGAAAGCCAATAAAAGACTTGGCTGCATCAATGACAGGAGAGATAAAGTAACTATGCCATTCTAATCAGTTCTGGTCAGGCCACATCTGAATATTGTGTTCAGTTTTGGTCCCTGTTATATAAGAAAGATGTGGACAGGGTGGAGAAAGTGACATAAAGGGCAACAAAGATGACCAAATTACTGGGTAGCCTGTCACATGAAGAAAGGCTGAGAAAACTGGATTTGTCCAGCTCAGAGAAAATAAGCTTAGGCACATCTTATCATTGCATTCCTGTATTTAAAGGGTGTCTACTAAGATGGAGATTCCCTTTTCATAAGGAGTCTTATGGAAAAGTGAGGAGTGATATGCGCAAGTTACGCCTGGGATGATTCCAACTGGACACAAGAGAAAACTTTTCACTGTGAGAATAATCAGCCTTTGGAATAATCTCTCCGTTATGTGGCAAGTGGTGGATTCCCCAGCACTGAGACTTAAGACTCAACTGGACAGGATGATGGGCCATCTCACCCAGACTGTGCTTTCACCAGCAAAGATTGGACCAGATGATCCTTGAGGTCCCTTCCAACCTGGAATGAGTCTGTAATGATTATCAGGATGTAAGATGACCAGTTATTGTCAGGTGCCCAAAGACTGACCAAAAGGGAGAAGTGTTAAAATACTTCTGGTAGACAGCAAACATCCCTCTTCTTCTCTCTTGCCACCTCAGAGCAATCCATTGCTTCTCTAGTAATTAGCAAATCTTTCTTTTTAAGCTGCAGAAGCTTGTTGTTCTGCTCTTCTCTTCATTTGTGCAAGAAATCTCAAAAAGTTGGAATGGCCTTACAGATTTGTCAGCATGAGGTTCAATTGCTCAGCATCTATAAAGGCCTGGCTTGGCAGGGAAAATATTACTTGCTGTAAACAAGTTTATCCCAGCAGTTTCCATAGTTACTGATGATTAGAACAGCAATAAATGAGATTTCAAAAGAATTAAAGGAAGAAAAAAAGGCTGGTACAGATAATACTTGTAAGAGATAAAATATTATCATAATATAATAATAAGCAGACAGACTGAAAAATGGAGAAATGTTAAAACAGCAGTTAAAGATGAAGTATTGCAAACTTTTGTTTAAAAGTATAAATTTTATATGTGATTAATATTTAGATAGACTAGAACATCTTTAAGGAAACAAAAAAAGTGTGAACAGCACACCTTATGTTCTAAACAGATCTGATTTGATAGGTAGAAAAATAATATCCTAGGAAAGGCACAGAAAGGAGGAATGCCTGAGAATAAAGCACAGTCACAGTCTCTTGATACTGCAAACAGAGCAGACACCTCAACCATTTATTTCCTTTTGCTATAATTTTTAATCTAAGCTCTGGTCAAATAATTTTAAAAGAAGGTAATGCAGGCATCCTGAGGATTGCAAGACTCAGCAGACACCAGCATATGCACACCTTCTTTGTTACACAAGATACTAAGTGGTAAATTTAGTGCTTCAGTCTTTCAATCAGTGCAGAGGGTTTCTGTTTCTTCCTAAAACAGGTTAAGAAGCGATCTGAAATCTCTTCTTTGAGGCTGCAGGATTTCTCTGAAAGTATTTGGAGTAATTCTGTGAACCTGGAAAATAAAAACATTGCTAATTGTTGTAGTTTCTGAAAGACACTCCAAGATTATATATGAGGTACTTCCACCAGTGTGCTCAGATCAATATTTGCTAACCTGCCCTTATTCCTACATCACCTGTTATACAATTTTGTCAATGATATAATTATTTGAACTCAAAGAACTTTGAAACAAGTAAAGATTAATTATAAGAAACCAAATACATGAGGAACCTAGCTAGTCAGCTTTATTGTAAAAATGAAACAAAATGAGCTACAGAGGATTACTCTCTTTTTGGGGTTGTAAATTCAAGACAGAGATGCAAATCAATACTACTTTTTTTTTTTTTTATAAGAGCTTTATATTTTTGCTTAAAATGCATACTTTAAAATCTACTTTTTCTACACAAGAAAAAGTTTATTAATTTCAGACCTAAAATAGAATTTGTCATTAGTACTTCACAAGTGCAACTGTGTTACTACTATAGCAGCTGCAAAAGTATCTGGCCTGTACACCACATACTCTTGCTATAGTTGTAAATGTGTCAAAATACTAAAAAAAAAAAAAAAAAAAAAAGAAAAAGAAGATTCACAGGATTCCTCTACCCGTAAGAATTAGGACTACCTCAGAATAAGTGAGAAGAAATTTCAAACCAAACTCAAAAGATCCTGCCAAGAAAACATGTTGCTCTTTTATGCTGAGATAGCCCTCCCTAAGCACTTTACTTTTTGATAATACAACGGGCTAATAAGTTTTGTTGGCCTTTTACCTTTTAAGTCATTCTCCTTTGCCTACCTATTATCAAAAATCCTTGACCGGTCTTTCGGTGGTTAGCAAAATCCACGGGAGTCAGTGACTTCTTCTGAGGTGTGTCTCTCTGTAAAAGGAAAGATACACTATTAGCTAGTGAGATACACTTATCAGTGGAAAGAGATCGATTATGGTTTTATGATCTAGTCCAGCAGACTGGATCCTACCAAAGTGCAAAGCTCAAAACAGCACTAAAACTGCACACTTCTAGCACACACACCCCCTCAAAAACAGAAAAAAAATTATTATTCATACAACAGTCCCACACCCTCCCCAAAACTTTTAGCATCCTCCTTCGACAGGCAGCAGGAATCCCTGTATATCAGAAGTCAGGAGAGACTCAGAAATGAGACTTTCTGTAAACCAACAGCAGGCATGAAAGAAAATCTCTTCCCTTTTTCCATGTCTCCACTTACACTGTAACATACCCTGAATGTATGAGTTGTGTTGGGTCTTGAAAATTGAACAGTAACAGGTCTTTCTCTGAGTGGTTTTTGCTCTGTCCTGCCAGCTACTGCACTTGACACTCTGCTATGAGTATATCGTTCTTGATGCTGAGAGAATTAAAAAGAGAATGCAGCAATTGAGTAAGTTTTTTTTTTCTGTTGACATACAAAAGTTACAAGATAAGAAAAATATGTTTTCAATAACCAAAAGCACCAATTCAAGTGTTTGCCTGTTTTTTTAACAGATGCAAGACTGTTTCTATGTTGGCATGTCAATATATCAACATGCTAATTTACCTTCATTCTGGTGATTTACTACTTCCCCAACCTTCAAAACTGGCCAATATAAGATCTGGCTTTTTTCAGTTGTTAGCCTTTTCTACTTCAGTCAGCATAGTTTTCTAATTCTTATGACCTAACATTAGTGAATAAATTACTGAAAAGAGCTATTTAAATCCAGATGCATAGAAGAGCAAGGTTGTTACCTTGTCATCTTGTTGGCTGGTTCTTTTTAGCAGTTTTTTTTTTTTTTAACCAGATTTTTCTGTTGTCAGATGTCTTTCCACTATGATCTGTCTGTGACCTAAGGTTTTGAACTGCCTTTTCTTGCATTGTAATTGCACCCCAATGTAACATACATTAGCATGTTAAAACTATGTATTAAATACAAACCAACACAAGCTGTAAAATTACTCACTTCAACCAGTGACATATCGTAATTTATTTTTACATAGCTTGAAGTTCTTCACTGGTTAAATAATGAACACAACTTACAGGGCTCTGTTGCATTCGAGGTACTGAAACATGTTCAACAGCTTCGGAGTTTATTGGTGGTAACTTGTTCCGCGTTGCAGGTGCACGAGCAGAAGATAAACTGCTGCCAACCCTACAGAATTTTAAAGGTTCCTCTTTTAGGAGCATTCACATTACAGACTTCTTCATTGAAGTAATATGAAATTATTAAGTAGCACATTTCTTTATAAAGCTCAGCTGCAGAAAGTAACAGCACCTAATACAGCAATAAAGAAGTAGAACAAATGCCTTTCTTCAAAAAAATCATGGCTCTGCTTGCTTTCTTCTTCCCTCTGAATTCTACAATTAATAGTAAATCATGTGTTAGTTCTCGAGTATTTTGCAAAATCCCTCAGTGGTGAAATTTCAGTAAAGTTCTGAGAAAATAATAAAATGAAAAACTCACAATTTTGTCCCTTTACAGATTTCATCATTGTGCATATTAGGAACTTCTGAGCAGGGCTGGTCAGAGGTAAGAGAAGGTAACCTTGCTACTTTCCTAGAGGATGCCAGTAGAGCTGGAGATGCTGAAAGAACACTGTTATCAGAAATTCTCCCCAGCCTAGCATGTGCTGAATTTGGAGTTCTGGAGGCACTGGTATGCTGTTTGTCTTCTTGCTCATTCCTAGGGAAAGAGAAAGAAATAAGGAATTAGGATCAAGAAAAACAAGGGTTTAACAGTGCATCATTTCTACCTCTGCAAATTACTATCATATCCGTGATCACAAGATCACACCAGATCACTGCCTTTTTTATAGGTTTTTTTCTAATTGCAAAAAAATTTTTACATTATGTGAATTATGTCATATTTTTTAAATATCAATGCCACCTACTGTGTTTTTTCTGCTACGGCAGCATGCCTCTGTTGGAGCGGTTTTGCCTGAATTGTCATCACACCACTCAGATCACTACAGAAGTTGCTGGAGAAACGGTAAACCTATTAAAAGCAACAACTATGTGTTAACCTTTACTTTTTTAGAAGGAAGATCTCAAAAAGCACACAGTTAAGAGGTATTTTACTCGTTTTTTACAAAAGTTCCTTTTAAGATGGTTCAGTACAATTCTCAGGAGTACATGGGGCAACTAAGCTTTTTTCTTTTGCTTATCTTCAACATATTTTTATAAACACAATTTGTGTAATTTAGTTACTGAATTGTAACTCAATTTACAACATAAATTTCAGTTGAAGCCAAAGATTAAGTCTTCAAACATTTCATTTTCCCTCAGTACAGGGGCATGATTTATCAAAGCATTTTACTTCTCCTGGCTGCTGGGACTGCTACAGAACAAAGTACATCTATGGGGAGAACCAAGACTGCTGTGCTATCTTTCCTGTGTTCCTTATCTCACTATTTAGCAAGCATGGTAAAAAGAGCCAATGGAAGAAAATTAAGTCACTTGAACTCAGTAGTGAGATACAGGAGAAAAGAAAAAAAACACAAACAGAAGCAGTGGCTGAAAAAGGAAACAAATGTGCAATACACTAATGAGGAGACAGACGGAGGAGACAGCAAGCAGGACAAAATAGGACATTTTATCAATATAAGCATGAGCTTCTACAAAGACAGGTAAGTCCTAGTGCCAGCATGCTAGTGGATGTACTGCAGAATCCCCTTTCACAAGAGGCAAAGAAAAAGAGAAGGAATGAGAGTCTGAAACTCGCAGTGTTACGAGAAAAGCACTCTAAGTTGCAACTTCACATCCCAGTTTGTCTTTTTAATTCTACCATGAAGAGATTACTGGATCACAATAAAAGCATAATTAATTTTTAAGGACAGAATAGAATTTAACAAGACTTTGCAAATCAATGGCAGCAATACCTTAGTGATAAATTGTACTTTAAGAACCACCAAAGAAAAACAAGCGACAATAAGCAAAAAATGAACACTGAATTAAACCTCATTTTAAATCAGATGACTTCAAGTACCCCTAATTGGTATAAAGAAAAAAAAAAAAAAGAGGAAATAAAGAAAAAGAGCCTTTTCAAGTTTTGATCAAGACTGTCCAAGGTTTGAAGAAAAAAGAACATTTGACAAAAAGGTTTTATTTTTACCTGTGATGAAACCGAATGAGCCCCAAAAGATACACTTTGTGCTTCAGAGCCTCTGGAAAGAGGAATGGTCCCAGCATCTGCTGTAATATGAATGACTGGCAAATGCGGCAGTTTTGCTGTAACAGTTTTCAGTTTTTCTATTTGTTGGTCACACTCTGCATAACAGCAAAAAAAGTAGAGAGAATAGGAAGTATTTTCTATGTTTACCAGCCATCATTTATTGGGGTTCACACAATATTACACAGTAAATAAAGACTTGCACATAGCTTTACGTTTCCATGCTATTTAAAAATCTAACATAAATTATGGGTTTTTGAAAGCATTTCCATTTGTCTATGCTTTCTCTGACACTGACATACAAGCTGGCCTATACAGGTAGATTTGGAGGTGGTTGTTTAAGAAAATACATCTAAGATCTTTGAAATGCTGTCTAAAAATCCCCAGAGCTTTTCCTTTCTAAGTAGTAAAAAAATTTAATATATATAATAAAAAATAAAAAGTCTATTGATACCAGCCTCATCTGACAGCAGCTATACACTGTTTCATTTTGGATATAAGCTATGATCTTATTTCTATTATAAACCCAAATTCTTTTCCTTCCTAGTTTAAATACTAGCTATATGACCTTTAAAAATAAATAAAAATAAAAAGGCAAACCTATCATAATACTGCTAAATGATCCTCCCTAAACTATAATAGAGAGAGCTAAACAATCCACCTGCAGTGTCAAAAGAACTTTTAAATTACAGAAAAACCTGGAATGTTAAATTCTGATACTGTAAACATTCAGAGAAATTTTGCAATTTCTTATTTTGTTGTATTCTTATATTTGAGGTTGAGTGTACCTTACATTAGAGGTAACTTCCAAGACCCACCCTCGGGTGGTAACATTCTTCTGTTACTTCTGTCCTTTTAAAACACATTGAAAGAACTGAAATTCCCCTCAGCCTCCAGACACAACACATGCACACTAAATAGATTTTCACTTGTACTTATTTTTCCTAGCTTTTCCTTTTTCTCACTACAATCTGTTAGAATCAAAACATAAAATAAAATTACACGCGTCACTTTTTCTTCATCCTGTAGTCAAGTCATGAACTCCTGCACATCAGCAAGACTGTCTATCTCACTTTAACATTCTGACTACCCAAGGGTTCTATTTCTTTCTATTTCTAAAGCTTAAACAGTGAGGACTAGGAGACTGATTCCTAGGTTCCAGATCACATTGTCAGTGATCCCCTGACTAATCATGACTAACAGCATCAATGTGCATCTTCAAGCCAGTGATTAATATTTTTATTTTTTTAAACATGCTCTCTTGCAATGAAGCTATTTCAGTCAGTATTTTTCTTTTTACATTTCTCATCATTTTTTTAAACATGCAATGAAGCTATTTCAGTCAGTATTTTTCTTTTTACATTTCTCATACAAAACTCCCTGAAAATTAGGAAGAATGTTTTATTTTAGGTGCATGTGTGTGCAACATTCTCGTGGCAAGGCGCTACATTTATTACAGTTCTATAGCACTGGTTATCTTAACTAAAGCTTGGAATATTTGCTTAATTTAAGCAGATAGGGAAGGATGACTTTTCTGAATTAGATTCAACAAATACCATATTTTCAAATGAAAATATCAAATACCTGGGATACTAGTTTCCCAATTTTTTTTAATCAGTTCCTCCAATATTCCAATGACACTGCTCCAGATATGATCAAACACTTCAGAAGCCACAGCATCTTTGATACAGGCATTGGGAGAAACAGGGGGAATGCCACGCTTACACCTCTTCTCAGAAAGATGCATTTTCTTTTGTTCCCAAATCTCATCCTCACTAATAAAGGAAACAGATTCAAAAGAATTCCCATGGGAATTGACTCCCCCACCCCTGCCCCCTCCTTCAATAGAGAAACATACATATAGAAGAAAAGGCAGTCAGCTGGAGATAACCAAAAAATTCAAACTCAAAATTCACCTAAGGGAAGAGAACCTATCAAACACATATACTGATTTCTTTTTCATTTGCTTGCCATTGAGAAATGTAAAAATCCCATTAGGGCATTACAACAGAAAGATCTGCAGGTCTAGGAAGAAGTTTTATATGTGGCTAAATCCTTAAGACTAAATCCTACGCTTTTTACAATAACATAGGCAACAACATCTGAACAACCTCTGTTGTATTTGTCAAGAGGACTCTCACATGAGAATTTCTTTCTCAGCATGCCCTGTGTACCTGCACACATCTATAATTTTCCACCATTGATCAAAGATTAAACAATTTTGAAGAATTTCTGCAGTATGACAAGAATAGTAGAGCCCATAGCCTTACACATACCTTCTCCCTGTGCACTAAAGTAAAAAGAGTTATGCTTTTTAGGTTTTTTTTCTATTTCCTCTGTTTCTAGGGAAACATGTTTTAGCAGCATCTCCTAACTGGGTCTTCTAATACACCCCCTCAGGAAGAATGTTTTAACTTTTTTCTTTTTTTAATTCCATTGTATTTTTTTCTAAGGAATGGGGTTTTTTTGGGGTTTTTGAGATCAAAAAGATGCTTCCAAATTCCTACTGGTTTCTACTTCCTCCCTTTCTCTTCTCTGTCACTTCTTCACTTCTTCCTCAAGCCACACTGCATAATTCCTAACTGTATATGAGATGTGGCTGATTGGTGCAACTCACAAAATGACCACGCTATTCTCCTGTCAGGCTTTACGACATCTAATGTTTTAGTTATGGAGAACAAGGTACTTCAGAACTGAAGGAAACAAGAAGCATATGAAGGAGACAAAAGAGAGAAGCAAACCTTCAGACAATCCTCCCAAATTAACTTTGCTTACTTATTAAAACAAAGAGACAAAACTACTGAGAGTATTCTTAAACCTAAATGCTTCCTAAAAAGGCAGCAATCCCAGCCTTCTTTCAAAAAGAGCACTGAAAGGGTCTCTGTCTGAAAGGTTCCTCAGGTTTTCAGAACAACCATGTCTTTGTTCTGAGTGTGCATAAGGCCTTAGCACAAAAAGCTGTGCTTTGTGCCTAACGAGTCCTACCAAAGCTTTCCCCTTTTAGAGGCCTTTTAGAAAACAGCATATGATGATCTTTCATACACCCAGTAGCCTAGCTGCTGGAACATTCAACTGGCTTGCAGGAAACCTAGGCTGCCCTGTCAAGAAGATGACTGAATGACTCTTTTCTCACAAGCGTGCTCTAATTGCAGGCTGTAACCTCTCCTCACAAAGCTGTTGTACTCTGCAGAGAAAGAGTTTAAGACTCAGTGCTCTAATTGCAGGCTGTAACCTGCAGCTCTCCTCACAAAGCTGTTGTACTCTGCACAGAAAGAGTTTAAGACTCATTAGGGCAGAGAATGACACCAAACAACCTGATGCTCAAGGCTGTCACTTGGGGAGAGGGGATGCCTTCATTCTGCCCCATCTCAAAATTAAATATTCATTTCACTGAATCTCCATGCATCAAATACCTCAAAACAACTAGTGGTTAAGTCATTCCTCTGAAATGGGAGATGTGAGCTTTAAACCACTAGAAAAACAACATACCTAATCTTCCACATGCCCAGTGAGTATTCTGACCACTGTGCTACCGAACAGAGGAACAGAAGGAACTATATCTTATACAGTTTAGGAACCCTGACTCAGTTCATTGATAATTTTTCACTGCACTCTTCAAAAATACACATATCTGTTATTTACAGTTCCTTGTTGTCAAAGGCAAGATATTCCTCTATTTTTCCATCCTCATCGTAAATTTCTTCTTCCAGGAAGGAATACGTGGCTGAGTCTGAAGCAGAAACCCTAGTGGAACTTGCATCCAGTGCTGTATGTACTGGAGATACTGTTGGGATCAATTTAGAGCCTGAGATGCAGAGCCTGAAAAAAATATCAAGAAAATGAGAATTAAACATTCAAAGAAAGGAGAAAGTGAATGTTTAATTATACTGACATGTTTCAGTAATACAAAAGTAATATTTGTACGCGTTTCTGAAGAGGGAAGACCAAAACAAAAAGTTAAAAAAATTAACATACTCTTTTGTATGACCAGTACATTCAAGGAGGCCAGGCACACACTTAGTATCTACATGGGCATCATTTCTGCTCTGAAAATGCTGAAAGCCTTCATCCTTTGGCACTAGGAGCTGCTTTCCTAGAACCCTGAATAAAAAGGAGAGAACGAGCAGTGTCATAGATGGAAACCTTAGCCATATGCAAATATGCAGAATACAAGAACCTGCAAACAGTAGGCAATGCAAAAGCACAACTTACATCAGCCTTGAGGGGCCAGAGCCTTAATATTGCCTATTATTTAAATTATCAAAGTTAAGTTGATTTACACAAGATGAGATTCTAGTTATAAATTTTAAGAGCAAATAGTAAAACTCGTTAGATTGTTCTGAAGCCAGACAAAAGTAAACACACTTCCTTTTTTATGAAAAAACTCAGTGAGATACATTTAAAAATAGATGCAAAAAACAAATAACATCTGCTATGACTTCACTTATCCAACTCCAGTATCCACCACTGTGAGTAAAAGTGCTAATCAAAAATGTTTACATGGAAAGTTAAGGCTCCAGGTAAAGTTCAGAAAATGTGCAAACTCCAACATGCATAATGTAGAGAGGAAGAGAGAAAAGGTGAAAGCAACTCTAATAAATATACACTAAATTATATAATAAAATAATTTCTGAACAAGTTTGCCTGCAATCATTTTATTAATCAAAATAAAGGGCATCAGTTGCTAAAGCACCACTGCCCAGATTTACTGACAGCTATGGCACAGCTCCATCCCAGAGATACAGATCTGAATGCACATGTGTTGCTGATGCCCAAACCACAAGAGGGTACCCCAAAAATTCAAATTAGAATGGTAACCGATTAAAACTACTACTAGCAAGAATTTCCTTACCTTATATGAGGAAATTGTTCAACCCAATCTGCACATTCTGCCTGCAGGTTCTCTGTTTGGGAGGTCACTTTTCCTTCAAACAGCATTTCATCAATCTCCCAAAATAACTGATGCACTCTGTGTGTGTTCGCTTTATCAAATTCCTATATATTATAAAGTTAATAGCTGTCAGCAAATATGCATGTATACTAAAATTTCCGTGATATTTAAAGAACAGAACAACATGAATCAACTTGGTTTAGTGTGTCAGAACGCATGTTCAGACTATGTATTTTAGACACAATTTATATACCACAATGCAAAAAAAACCCCAACAACCCAAAAAAATCCCATATAGCTGGCCTGAACAAGTTGATTTAGCAAAAAAACAACTACAAGACTGCATTTCTTTAACATTAACATATAACATACAGCTGCCTAGAATTAGCCCATATTAAAAAAAAAAAAAAAAAAAGACAATCATTATGAGTTGTTTAGCCTCCCAGCTTATTCCCTGTGCCAATGTGAAGAACACACACTGCATCACTGGCACCCAGAGCGCTCTGCTCTTTCACGAAGTGCTCTTCTTCTTCCTTTCTATGTACAACAGCTAAGAGGGGAAAGAGGGAGGACCTTATGCCTGTGTGACCTAGTCTAGGGCTTAGGAAACAGCTGTCGGTGTGAGAAATGCCTTTCCATACTTCTTCACTGAACCTACAACTCAGTGCAACTAGATAGTAGGTTAACATAGAGGCAAATGAAAATAGTACAGAAATGCCTGATTTTATCCAGTGATGCAGAGACAAGCACTTGACTGAGGGTTCCTCAGCTGGGCACTGTTTTTAATGACATTTGCCACTTACATTAGATACTTTGATACACTAAAAAAACTGGTAAAACTCAAGGCCCAAATTACGCTTGTTCACTTCCAGCTGAATGCCTCAAAGCACTTCAGGCCACAGAAGGGACCACACTGAAAAGGAATGAGAAAATAACTCTCACACAGGTTACTGTAATACCCAGAATCAGGCTTTCTCCTGAAGGGCTGGCAGCAACAGATTGGGTCAGTACCCTAAAGGTTAGGGCATTATGCAAAAAGAAAGGCAGAACTACACTACCAGCCACAGAAGGCTTTCTGAAATGAAAGTGGCAGCAACTGCAATGCTGCAACTTCCAGCCTGCACCAGGTATGCCTCAGAGGTCAGCCTTTTTAACAGCAGGACCTCTCTCCGTATCATCTGCAAAAAATAACTGACTTCATGTAAGAGCTAAACATTTACCAAGACTGGGAAATTTATATGCATGTTCATGAATGTACTTCATAACTGAAAACATTGAGAACAGTTCAATTAGACATTGCCTGCACTACAGGGTGTTTGAAAAGACATGCTTTATCATTCACTTGGACTCAGAAAGCCTACCTTCTTCAGTAAAACAGCTTTGTTTTCCCCAACCTTCATAATTTATCATTTTATTCCATTCTCCTTTGTTACACATTAGCTGCACCAATACCAACATGCAACCAAAACTATTTTTTAAAAATTCAATTAATACACTTATTCATTAGGCTAATATAAATGAGTTGCTGCATGTCCAACATCAGTAAAAAACTAATATTTCTACAATATTTAGAGAAAGGGTACTGTAAAAGTTTCTGTGACATACATCATCTCTCCAGGAGTAAACTGAACTTCTTTCAGTAGACAAACTAGTAGTATAGCTGTTTATTCCAGACCAAGAATTATTCAGCTCCGTGGGTGTTGTGCAACCACTAGGTGAAAGTGATGAAAGTGTCTCACTGAAAAGAAGACAAATTAGAATGAAGAACACAATTATTTTCTGTATAAACATGTTTTAAATAAAGCAACCAATCAAGTAAATGGTGCAAGCAGGTATTTTAAAGTAGAGTGAATACATGCTCCTATTAATACTATTTACTGCCTTAAAGGCAATTCCTTCTACACTATTAAGTTTTTGCATGCATATGGACCATTGCAACTGTATGGCACTCTAAAATATGCATGTGTATGTATTTGAATATAATTACATGCATGTATCTGTATTTCCAGCTCAAACAATTATTTTGGTTTCTCCATGTCAGCTAGTGATCACATGAAAAGCAGATGAAAAACAACATCAGCTTTCTTTAACTCTTTCACATTAGAAGCTTCCACAAGAAAACTTTTGCAAAACTAAGCACAAGATCTCTACAAATGTTTCAAATAGCACTGAGTTACATGTCTCTATGCAGTGCTTTTTATGTTGCTAAATTTGGTGCACTTTAAAATTTGGGCCACAGCAACTCAAGCCCCCAAAGTTCTAGCTGGTCCCTGCCACTTACCACCCACCCGAGGATGCAGGGAAAGCAGTGGTAATTGGATGTGCAGGCAAATCCTAACCACTGTCATCTGGAATAAAATTTCTTGAAAGTTAACTAGCCTGCAACATTGGTGAGCATGATTTCAATTTAATCATGAAGTCTGATTTCCCTTCCAGACATAATCAGTGTCCTCTACTATGGTCTTAAAATACTTAAATCCGTATCACAAACCAGGAATAAAGTTCAAATCCTTTAAAGAGCAGGTTAGGTCAATTTGTATCCTGCATTATATTGTGCAATAGTTATTATCCATGAGAATGACTGGAAGAATGATTAGTGAAAATTAACTTCAATCTGGAAATATCTAAGTCAAAAGTAAGTTAATTAAGTATTATTTCAGAAGTACATGTATACCAGGTATAATTGTCAATGGCTTCTTGAACATTTCTTGCAAAAACTGATGGAAGAGACACTCCACTTTTTCCAGAGAGACACCGATTTGGGGATCCTCTGGACAGTCCCTTCCTATAAATACAGAAACATAACATTCCATAATTTCAAATAAAGTTAATTCACATCTCCACTGGAAGGGGGGGTAAGGAGGGCAGAGGAAAGGAGAAAAGGAGGAAGATAACTACTCTGTTGAATTTTTCGATTTTTCAGTCCTATTCACCAAGACAAACATTTGCTTGAAACAAACTACTTTGTTTTAAAATAGCTTTTATTTGCCTTACTTACAGAAGTATGTTTTAAAAAAATGTACTTTTATTTTGAGACTTGCTTTACTCCATTGGCATCCTCCTTGGGTTTTGCATGAACTTTGCAAGAAGCACACACACAAATGAATCAGCACCTCACTACTGCAACAACAGAGCAAAGGCACAAACCAGTAACTGCCCATGCAACAGTTTAATGAAGGAATGTTTTTTCCTTTGTTTGGGAGGGTGGGGCTTTTTGTTGGGGTTTTTTTTGTTTGGTTTTTTTTTAGATGGAAATTATTTATAATTACACAACTGTCATAATTACACAATTACATAATTACATATTACATTCGATGCATGAAGTTGGGTCATTAACATGCTAAACCCACCTCTTCAGAATATGTACAGATATGTGAAAGTGCTCCTTGGAAGCACTTACAGCAACTGATTGCTTCACCTATGTTCATGCCACAAAAGCCTCACAGCAGCATGACTGCATCAAAGTACATTTGTGAAAAAGTAACTATAAGAAAACAGCTCACGGGTCCAAGAATTTTCTTCATTTGTTTAGACAAGAACTGTAGATTGGCCCTGCAGCAGTTAGGATTGCTCTGTCTTCTTTCTATCCTTTCTGATATTTTTCTTTCCATTACACATATTACAAAGACACATATGTCAAAATCTAACTCCCCACTCAAATGGACCACACCATACATCCTAATGTTATTTATGTGTTGGTTAAGAAAACAGCAAAACCTACCATAAGCTTGAACTTCTCATCAGGGAAGACCTTAAATTTAAAATTCTTCGAGGCTGGTAAAACAGTAGTGGAAAGCATTTCTGTGTGTTTGCACTTCATATCCTATCTCTTCCCTAGCATCTGCTTTTGGCAAGTAAGCACCAGGAGGCTCTATGAATATTCATAAAGTCCAGTCCCATGACTTGAGTTTCATTTTGTCCTAACACCAAGATCTATCTCCCAGGAAGTAACAGTGAGCTCACAGTCTATCTTCTCCATGGAATGCCGTTTCCTTCTGTTCCCGTACACCCCTCTCTGTCTAACATTTGCCATGTTATTTATTGCTCAGGCAGCCTTACAAGGTCTTTCAATTATTTTTTTTTCATAGCCGACTCTTGTTCTTAGTATTTTTCCACAACTTAATACCACCACCAAGGTTTAACACTTCACTGCTCTTTACCTGCTCAAACTGCCCAGGTCGGATTCCCATGAAACACCACTGGGGGAGGAAACCACTTACTGTTACCTTCTGCTTACTAATACCCAAGCTAAACCTCGCAGGGCACAACTTCAGGCTGTGTCCTCTTGTCTTGATGTGAGGTGGAGCAAAGTAGTGTTCCTGCCACATTTTTCCACTGCATGTTGTTGTAGCACGTCTCCTGACTCCTTGGATCACACGCCATTAGATGTGCCGGGAAATCATTGCAATAAAATAAAACTATAGGAAAAACCCCTCCCAGCACATCTATACCATCACTTCCCCTGCGCTGGCAAGGGAGCACCAGAAGCTGGAGCAGCTGCCGGCTGCTCACCGAAAGCTCCGCAGCGACGGGCATTACACGGGGACAGCAACACCGCTGCAGCGCTCCCGCCGCCCCGGCAGGACGGCAGGCGGGCCGCGGACACCGCCCCGCCACGGGCCGCAGCCCCCGCCGCCACACTCACCCCGGGACGAGCAACCCCGGCCCCGCGGCCACACTCCAGCGCCCACCCGCTCCGCCCGCGGGCTCCCCCCGCCGCGTCCCGCGGCAAGGCCTCGCACCCCTCCGGGCCTGCCCACGAAGAGCTAAAGCCTCAGCCTGGGCCGGAGCGGTGCATTCTCCCCTCGCCTCGGAACACGCAGCCAAAGAACGCCGAGCTTGGTCTTTCTGACCAGAGGAGGTTTCCCTCGCCTTCGTAAATGAACAAGGGTTATGCGATGCTGGCCAACTAGATAAAGATTTTCCCTTGTTAATTGAGTTCTCCTCGAACTACCCCTGTGCACATCACCGATCTTCTTCAGCACGGGGGCAGGGCAGAGCATAGACTGTCAGCTGCAGATTTACACAAGCTCCAGTAATCCACTAGCTTCATTCATCTCTAGCTCCACGACATAAAAACTCTGGCGTCTACATATTTTGCAGAAAGCCTCTCTTAACGGAGGAGGCAGATATGCTCATAAGCAAAAAGAAAATGCAAGAAAGAGAAAATAAAATAAAAATAAAGGCAGCATTAAATATGCTGAAAATTAAGACTGAAAAAGCAAGGCACATGAAGCCTCACCTTACAGGAAAACAATCAGCAGCATTTAAATGACATTTAAAGTTTCATAACCAAACAAAATATTACTCACTAAGAAAGGTGTGTAGAAAATGCCTACCATTTGTTCTCTGATGATAATTTTTTTTTTAACCTGTTCAGTAAGGAAAGTTCCACATTCTTCAAAGCCCCATTCTTCCATGTCAGTAAATCATTAAGAAACTGCATGTGTAATTACAACTTTCCTTGTCCTTAGCCATCATTCTTCTATAGGAGCAGGTTTGTCCAACACTTCGGACACACGTGCACACACACGAAAATAAGAGTCCTTTGTTAAGAAAAACTTATCCAAACAGATGAAATCTAGAATAGAAAATTATGTCCTGATAAAGAAAATGCAATTTTAACCTTCCACCTTCTCCCATATTTCCACAGTGGAGAAACTAAGAGCAAGAGTTAAATTTTGTGCAACCATTTTGGAAGGCTTTTTTGTCATTGCAGCAAGATTCAGCCAGTGGTCACCCCCACATCTTACCACCACAAAACCCCACAATATCATTTGCATTTCTCTAAACCAAGCCCTTCTTCCTTTCCAACCAACACAATGATAATAATATGGATAAATAATTGTGAAGGAGTATATTATTAGTGCGAATGCTACTTCCATCACTCTAATTTGGAACTGGAGAGAACTAACAAAGGACATACCAAAAGGCATTCAACCAGAGGAGTTTAGAAAAGTCAATTAATAGAGAAAAAATGCTAACTTTATTATCTGTCACACATGCTATGAGACCTCTTTAACAGATGATTCAAAGTCTGTTTTCTAGCCACAGCCCCAACAGAACATATTTATTATGCATTGCTCCCTTGCCAACAATGTATAATATCCTAATTTCTAATTAAGCTTCTGCCTTGTTGTCTGAAATAATTAATTTTCTTAGATTTCACATCTTTACATGTTCTTTACTATTTTGGAAGCATGATTTGTAACAAATGTAAACATAATAACCACATCATGCTCTCACAACAAGACAAGCTTTATCTTTTAACCTACCATTTACAGCTGGGGCAGTTAAACCTGGAGAAAAAGAGGGTTCAGGGGAACCTTATCACTCTCTACAACTACCTGAAAGGAGTTTGTAGCCAGCTAGGGGTTTTCTCTCCTCCCAAGTAACAAGTGGCAGGATGAGCAGAAGTAGCCTCAAGTTGTGCTGGAGGAGGTTTAGATTGGATATTAGAAAAATATTCTACACTCACAGGGTGGCCAAGCCTTGCAATAGGCTGCCCAGGATAGTGGTCAAATCACCAACCCTGGAAGTGTAGGTGTGGCACTTGGGGATTTAATAGGGAACACGTCAGTGCTGGGTTAATGGTTGGACTTAATGATTTTGGGGTCTTTTCCAACATTGATTATTTTCTTTATTCATTTCACTCATATCCTCACTTTCTGCTTGTTTGTCTATCCCATACTTGGTTTGTAAAACCAAGAGATTACTATTTGTATGCCAGATTTCTATAAAACTTTGATGTGAGAGTATTAAAAAAATTAAACTATAAGCTCTCTCCAGCATAACAGTGGAAACACATCTGTGGGAAAAAACAGATTTTGAAATCACACCATCTTTCTTAAACTGGTCTGGGACAATTACCATGGAAGTCTATTTCTTATTCTTCTTTGAAGTGATATAGTAAACAGAAGCTGTAACACCACAAATCCGGCCTGCTCAAATATTCCTCTGTAAAGGGTCACTCCCAACACAGACCCACCTGTCAGGGGCATTTTCTTAGAAGTGAATAGACACTCCTGGTCAGTGTCTTGTTCACTGAGCAGAATGTACAAACTTTTTTGCAAACAACACTGAAAAACCGTCACTGCACAAAACGGTCCTTCTGCACGATCACCATCGTGATCATGCTCAGCTCATGCTGCTCTGTCTTTGGAGCACGCAAGAAACAGACATGACATGACTGCTTTCCACATTGATAATGTACAATATTCCAGGCATGCACTGCAGTATTGTAGTTGAATATTTATACTACAGAAAATACAAAATTCATAAGAAATACACACATCCTTTTCTTTCTAGGTCAGGTAGTCATCTGTCCAACTTGGTTGCAGTCAGCCATGGTAAGCTCTCCCCCTATTGCTTGACAAAACACATCTTTTTCAAGATTGAGAGGATCATTAGGAAGAGCACTTTCACTTTCTTAACAACTTCAGTGACCACAAACTTCCAGATATAACAGACAGGATTGGATCTGCCATTGGCAGATCCCAGAATAGTTCGTGCTATCTGAAGACTGCTGTAACAACTGTGCCAGGGCTGAGCATTCTTACACTTAGTTAACACAACAGCACCAAATTCTTCCTTCAGCAGTCTGGACTTTTTATGAGATATATTCAGTGACTTTTACAGCTCATGAAAGCAGTCAGTTTGGCTCAATTTAATCACTTACTGCAGCAATACAAAGAAAATCCAGGTAGATGACAACAATGCCTGTCCCTGCTTACAATCACAGTGCCTCAGCTTTCTCAAAATCAGGCTCATTGTGGCATAT